TGTATGTATGTAACAGTTTAATATAGATAGGGAATTGATAGACCTAGGTAGTATATAGATATAGAGCAGCTGCCGGATGCCCCCCTTGGTTGGGCCTGTGATGGACAGCAGAGCCAGGCCAGTCAGCGGACTTAGTCCCTCAGAAATTTCCTGGAGCCGCGCTCTGATTGGCTGCCAAGCCAGCGGGGGGCGGAGCCAGCCCTTTTGGCAGGAAAAGGCAAGGCGCCTTTTCTGAGGGGGGAGCTTGGAGGGGAAGGTGGGGAGGAGAGGAAGAGGAGTCAGGCGGGAGTTCAAGGAGAAGCTGGGGGAGGAAGGGAGACCCCAAGAAGGAGGGCTGAGGGGACCCCCTGGGTGTGGGGGCGGACTGAGGGGGCGGAGGGAGACCCCAAGAAGGAGGGCTGAGGGGACCCCTGGGTGTGGGGGTGGACTGAGGGGAAGGGAAGGAGACCCCCAAGATGGTGGGCTGAGGGGACCCCTGGGGGTGGGGGGCGGACGGAGGGGGGGGCGGGGGGAGGCCCCCAACAAGGCGGGCGGAGGGGACCCCCTGGGTGTGGGGGGCGGACTGAGAGGGGGGGGCGGAGGGAGACCCCCAAGAATGAGGGCTGAGGGGACCCCTGGGTGTGGGAAGCGGACTGGGGGGGAGGGAAGGGAGACACACAAGAAGTAGGGCTGAGGGGACCCCTGGGTGGGGGGGGCGGACTGAGAGGGGAGTGGGAAGGGAGACCCCCCAAGAAGGAGGGCTGAGGGACCCCTGGGTGTGGGGGCGGACTGAGGGGGGGAGAGGAGGGAGACCCCCAAGAAGGAGGGCTGAGGGGACCCCTGGGTGTGGGGGCGGACTGAGGGGGAGGGAAGGGAGACCCCAAGAAGGAGGGCTGAGGGGACCCCTGGGTGTGGGGGCGGACTGAGGGGGAGGGAAGGAGACCCCCAAGAAGGAGGGGCTGAGGGGACCCCTGGGTGTGGGGGCGGACTGAGAGGGGCGCGCGAAGGGAGACCCCGAAGAAGGAGGGCTGAGGGGACCCCCTGGGTGTGGGGGCGGACTGAGAGGGGGCGGAGGGAGACCCCAAGAAGGAGGGCTGAGGGGACCCCCTGGGTGTGGGGCGGACTGAGGGGGGCGGAAGGAGACCCCCAAGAAGGAGGGCTGAGGGGACCCCTGGGTGTGGGGGCGGACTGAGGGGAGGGAAGGGAGACCCCCAAGAAGGAGGAGCTGAGGGACCCCTGGGTGTGGGGGCGGACTGAGGGGGAGGGAGGAGACCCCCAAGAAGGAGGGCTGAGGGGACCCCTGGGTGTGGGGGCGGACTGAGAGGGGGCGGAGGGAGACCCCAAGAAGGAGGGCTGAGGGGACCCCTGGGTGTGGGGGCGGACTGAGGGGGGCGGAGGGAGACCCCAAGAAGGAGGGCTGAGGGGACCCCTGGGTGTGGGGGCGGACTGAGAGGGGGGCGGAGGGAGACCCCAAGAAGGAGGGCTGAGGGGACCCCTGGGTGTGGGGGCGGACTGAGGGGGAGGGAGGGAGACCCCAAGAAGGAGGGCTGAGGGGACCCCTGGGTGTGGGGCGGACTGAGGGGGAGGGAAGGAGACCCCAAGAAGGAGGGCTGAGGGGACCCCTGGGTGTGGGGGCGGACTGAGAGGGGGGGAGGGAGACCCCAAGAAGGAGGGCTGAGGGGACCCCTGGGTGTGGGGGCGGACTGAGGGGGACGGAGGGAGACCCCCAAGAAGGAGGGCTGAGGGGACCCCTGGGTGTGGGGCGGACTGAGGGGGAGGGAAGGAGACCCCAAGAAGGAGGGCTGAGGGGACCCCTGGGTGTGGGGGTGGACTGAGGGGAGGGAAGGGAGACCCCAAGAAGGAGGGCTGAGGGGACCCCTGGGTGTGGGGCGCGGACTGAGGGGGAAGGGAGGGAGACCCCAAGAAGGAGGGCTGAGGGGACCCCTGGGTGTGGGGGGCGGACTGGGGGGGGAGGGAAGGGAGACCCCCAAGAAGGAGGGCTGAGGGGACCCCGGGGTGTGGGGGCGGACTGAGGGGGGGGAGCGGAGGGACCCCCAAGAAGGAGGGCTGAGGGACCCCTGGGTGTGGGGGCGGACTGAGGGGGGCGGAGGGAGACCCCAAGAAGGAGGGCTGAGGGGACCCCTGGGTGTGGGGGCGGACTGAGGGGGGGAGGGAAGGGAGACCCCCAGAAGGAGGGCTGAGGGGACCCCCGGGGTGTGGGGGCGGACTGAGAGGGGGAGGGAAGGAGACCCCAAGAAGGAGGGCTGAGGGACCCCTGGGTGTGGGGGGCGGACTGAGGGGGGAGCGGAGGGAGACCCCCAAGAAGGAGGGCTGAGGGGACCCCTGGGTGTGAGGGGCGGACTGAGGGGGGAGCGGAGGGAGACCCCCAAGAAGGAGGGCTGAGTTGACCCCCTGGGTGTGGGGGGCGGACTGAGAGGGCGCCGGGGGGGAGACCCCCAAGACGGAGGGCTGAGGGGACCCCCGGGTGTGGGGGCGGACTGAGAGGGGGCGGAAGGAGACCCCAAGAAGGAGGGCTGAGGGACCCCTGGGTGTGGGGGCGGACTGAGAGGGGGAGGGAAGGAGACCCCCAAGAAGGAGGGCTGAGGGGACACCCTGGGTGTTGTGGGGCGGACTGAGAGGGGGGGCGGAGGGAGACCCCAACGAAGGAGGGCTGAGGGGACCCCCTGGGTGTGGGGGCGGACTGAGGGGGAGCGGAGGGAGACCCCAAGAAGGAGGGCTGAGGGGACCCCTGGGTGTGGGGGCGGACTGAGGGGGGAGCGGAGGGAGACCCCAAGAAGGAGGGCTGAGGGGACCCCTGGGTGTGGGGGCGGACTGGGGGGGGAGGGAAGGGAGACCCCCAAGAAGGAGGGCTGAGGGGACCCCCTGGGTGTGGGGGGCGGACTGAGAGGGGGGGGCGGAGGGAGACCCCCAAGAAGGAGGGCTGAGGGGACCCCCTGGGTGTGGGGGGCGGACTGAGAGGGGGGAGCGGAGGGAAAGGGCCCCTCGCTCAGAAACCCCCCAAGTCTGAATGGGACACGACTCAGTCCAGGAAGGAGAGGGAAGAAGGGGCAGAAATGGAGTTCAGCATTGGAGCACCATGTCTAGAAAGCGGAACATCGGCCTGAGAAGGGACTTCTGCGTTTAATGCCCTGACCGCCTCCAAGTTGAGGCAAGAAGTTGACTTCTGCCTGAAAGTACCTGAAACTGTTCTTAACCTGAGGTACCACTTTAGCTAATGGGGCCTCCCGCTGCTGCCGCACGATTTCTGTTCTTATCCTGAAGCAAAGTTCTTAACTTGAAGTAATATTTCTGGGTTAGCAGAGTCTGTAACCTGAAGCGTCTGTAACCCGAGGTACCACTGTATTACTATTCTCCTCCTTGGGCCTCTGAGAAAGAGAGGGCCTTTCCCTCCTGGCCCCCTTCGCAGATCCCGGCGGATCCCCCAAGGCCGCTTGCCTGGCGTCTCCCAACGCAGAGGCTTCCTCCGTGGGGCAACATGGCGAGGAGAGAGGCTGCCCTGCGGAGGCCAAGCCATCATGGCAGGAAGGCGGCTGAGGACCAAAGGTGCCGCCCTCCTTCATCCGGGAGGAGAGACCCCGAGAGCGTGGGACCCCCGAGGCCCACAGGGGAGCCATGGCGTCTCTGGGAGCGGCTGGGGCACCGGGAAAAACAAAATGGCGTTCCCACCTTTTTTGGAAAAACACCATCTCTTGGCCCTGCTGCCTCCATGCGCTCCTCCTGGGCCTGCCTGGCAATGGGGGTGGGAATCCAGCTGCCCCCAAACAATGAGGGAGAAGAGAAACAGGAAGAGAAGGAAGGAGAAATGAAGGAGAAGCTGGGAGGGGAGCATCCAAGAGGGAAACTCAGGGGGAAAACTCCCTCAGGAAACCGGGCGAAGGAGAGGAGGAGGCCCAGGGGAATCTGAAAGGGGATTGGCCAGCTGTCCAATGCAGAGGCCTCTGATTGGTCCATCCCTGCTCTGGGGTGGGAAATGGGGTCAGATAGTTCTGGGATCCCAGTAGAAACTGGTTTTCTGGCAGGAAACATGGAAAGGATGGCAGGTGTCACTCTTCCTTTGAACTGGAGTCCGGAGTCAGCTCTGTCAGACTTCTTTCTGGAATAAGAAACGCCCTCCTTTCCTGCTGGGTCTCAAACAGGGGCAAGTCAAGCTCAACGCCACCTCCAACCCCCTCCCCACTTTAAAAGCACCATTTTGAGAAGCAGCAACTCTCAAATACGAAGAAATCAGCACCTCCACCTGCTAACATTTCCCCCCCCCCCGCTTGGTTTTCAGGGAGGGCTTTTCTTAGCCCCTAATCCCCCAATTCAAAATAGGGGCAGGCTGGCTGGAGACCTTTCCTCCAACCCCCTTACCATTATTTAATGGCATCCCGTTTATATGTATTCCCCTTGTCCCAAAAGAGCCTCAGCTTCAGGGGTGTCTTCTGAATGAGCTGCCAGGAGAAGGCACCTCAGCCTGCCTCTCCAGTGGCAGAAGGTTCCCTAGGACACTCCAGGCTCAACGTGGGTCAAACGCTGAGGAAAACTTCTTGGAGCAACTTTTGGGAAAAGGGGAATACATATAACCGGGATGCCATTAAATAACAGTAAGGGGGTTGGGAAATGGGAGTGCCTGATCACCTCATCTGTCTCCTGAGAAATCTCTATGTGGGACATGAAGCTACAGTTAGAACTGGATATGGAACAAGTGATTGGTTCAAAATTGGGAAAGGAGTATGGCAAGGCTGTATTTTGTCTCCCTGCTTATTTAACTTATATGCAGAATTCATCATGCGAAAAGCTGGGCTGGATGAATCCCTAGCCGGAATTAAGATCACCGGAAGAAATATCAACAACCTCAGATACACAGATAACACAACCTTGATGGCAGAAAGTGAGGAGGAATTAAAGAACCTTTTAATGAGGGTGAAAGAGGAGAGCGCAAAATATGGTCTGAAGCTCAACTTCAAAAAAACGAAGATCATGGCCACTGGTCCCATCACCTCCTGGCAAATAGAAGGCGAAGAAATGGAGGCAGTGAGAGATTTTACTTTCTTGGGCTGCATGGATCACTGCGGATGGTGACAGCAAAATAGAGCCCATAATCCCAGGATCTCTGAAATGAACAAATAAATGCACAGGATGGTCCAGATTGAACTCTTCCACGGATAAATGTTTGCCACGTCCAAAATGGAAAGCAAGAGCAGAGCAGGGTCCTCAAAACAGCCGCAGGGGTTTGGGATCTACGCATTCAGCTGCCCAAGGCACTTGCGAAGACCTAGATCTGGGCTCCTTGGGGCAAATGGGGGCAGGGAGGGCAGGCTCTAAGCGCAGCTGCAGATCTGCCGGCAGGCAGAGGGAAGGGCAGACTCAGTGCGCTTGGTTTTGCAAGGGTTAAAAGGAGCAGAGCTGGATTCCTAGAGAGGACGGGAAGTGAAGGGGGTGAAGGTCCTCCATGGCTAAATTCCCTCCCTCCCCCATCCCTTCCTGCAGGCAGAGAGGAGGCTGCTTTCTTCTCTCTCCTTTGCAAAAGCCCCTTCTGGAATCCGGTGAGTCCCCTATTTCCTCCCTCTGAGGGTGCAATGGGGAGAAGGGGGTCCCAGGGGGGCAGGGAGGGGGCATGGGGGTCCCTTCTCAGATCATACATAGTGGGGGCAGACCCCCAAGTCAGGGAGCAGAGGGTCCTCCTTTGTCCTCTCTGCCAAGTTCTTCCTTGGGATCCAGATGCTGCCTTCATTTTTGGGAGGGGGCTTGGGGTCAAGGAAAACTGGGCAGGTAAAGAAACCCCCTTCAGATTTAGGGATTATTATGATGTGGAATGGGACGCGGGTGGCGCTGTGGGTTAAACCACAGACTTGCCGATCAGAAGGTCGGCGGTTCAAATCCCCGCGACGGGGGGGGGGGGGGAGCTCCCGTTGCTCTGTCCCTGCTCCTGCCCACCTAGCAGTTCAAAAGTGTGTCAAAGTGCAAGTAGATAAATTGGTACCACTCCGGCGGGAAGGTAACCGGCGTTTCCGTGTGCTGCTCTGGTTCGCCAGAAGTGGCTTAGTCATGCTGGCCACATTTATACAAGGATTAAGACCCATCATTAAAATACACAACAAAATTGTTCCATTAAGATACTGAAATAAGCATGCAAGAAAAGAATAGTATTAAAACAATGCAGCTATTAAGAGGCAGAAAAGAACAGAGCAATGTGTAGAAAAATATCATCTTTCTTCTCCCTTTTTCTCTTAGGGTCCAGTGTGCTTTGAAGACGTAGCTGTTCCTTTCACAGAGGAGGACTGGGCTTTGCTGGATCCTGACCAGAGAGCTCTGCAGAAGGAAGTCAAGGAGGAGAATCCTGGGATCGTGGCCTCTCTGGTAAGGCTCCCTGCTGGATCATAAGATCAGTTTTGAAATTCCATACAGATCTCTGAAGGACAAACCTCCTCTATTTTGAGGGAGCCCCATAGCGCCACCTGCAGCATCTGAGATGTTAACACACCCACAACTCTCCATAGGAGATGTATCTCCTGTTCTGTCTGGGAATATTCTTCCACCAGTCCTGCCTTTTTAAACCAGGATAAGGCTGGTCTGAGCTGCCCAGGCCTTCTTCAATGTAGGCTTCAGAGATCTCAGGGATGTGGAGGAACATCCTGTCAAATTTTCTCAAAATTTTTCTCGAAAAAGGCAGTAATTCATTTCCTTCTTCCTCTTTCACAAGCAGTCATTTGCATTGTTCAATCATTTCAGCCTCAATTTCTTCCTCAGCCTAAACATAATAATAATAATAATACTGCCATATAACAGCAGATTGTAGGTGGTGAATTGGAGAGGAAGAAGAAGGGAGACAACCAAGAGAATCCACACAATGGAGAAACCATATAAATATTTAGAGTGTGGAGAGACTTTCAGTCAGAGCTCCCAGTCCACTTCCCATCAAGGAAAGCTCTTCGTTCAGAAGGAGAGCCTCACTTCACATGAAAGAACTAAAGATGGGAAGAAATAAGTGCTTGAAATGTGGGAAAAGCTTCATTCGCAGCTCCACCCACAGTTCCCATGAGATACTTCATACAGGGAGTGTTTGGGAAAAATCAGTTTCCATTAAATAAATCACAGCAAGGATAATCACAGAATTTCAGAAAATGGTATAAGGCATATGGTATTAAGGGGAAAAACAATGTTGACCCAGAGTAGTTACAAAATTAATGTTCTCTCCCCAAATGCCACAGACCCTCCTCCAAAGAGAGCTTCTCTAAAGAAAGCACAAGCAAAAATCAATTTTACATGAATAAGGAAAATGAGGAGGTGGCTAAGAAACAGCAGGAGCCAGATCCTATTACTGACCTTATAGGATCTCTCAGCAGCTCTAAGGATGAGCAGAAAGAGGTTTTGGGCCCAGCCAGCTCAACTGCTAAGTCATCTCTGGCACTGAGACCAGGAGCTCAAGCGACTCAAGGCCAAAGTCAGGCTAAACAAGTAGAGGAACTAATGAGAAAGAAAATTTCAGAACTATCCTCAGGAAATGCTAATACAAGGATAAAAGACTCCTTCTCCCAAGCCTCTGGTGCAAATGAGGAATTATCAGTCATTGGGTGACTTGTACTACTAACAAGGGACATAGAATGCATAAAATCAATATTGGCTGACTGTAATAAAATTCTTACCATCCTGATAGGTACTTGTAAAACCTTCTGGAATAAAATCAGGCAGAGTCTGTGGAACCAGATAATACAACAATATCTCTTTCCCTACCATTAAAAATAGATCAATAAGGGAGGTTTAATTCGTCCACATGGCAAAAGGAGGTCTATAAGTACAAAGAAGAGCAAAAATGTTAAAAAAAATTAAAATAGTGCAATATTAAAAGTTGACTTAAAAATACCTTTTAACTTACTTAAGAGTAGCTCATGCTCTGGGTCCAGACAGAACACTTAAGAAGCTTGTACTGTACAGTGGTACCTTGGGTTTGTTGGGATACTGCCAGGGAGACAAAGTCCATCATGGCCCCACGTTGCCTCCGGACGTCCATCGATCTCCCGTAGACACGCAGTATCAGCAATTAGCGACACGAGCTCCAGAAATAGCTTGCCACATTCCAGAGCTTATGCACGCTCTTATCAGCAGATAATGCACAGCAAAAGATGCACGCAGGAGAGCATATTTACAAGTTTATTCAGCGTTGGTCAGAACAAAGAAAAAAACATGACCGCCTGCTTCAGCGTTCAGGCACCAAGAGAGAGAAACGAAAGCAACAGAAAACATAAACATCCTGTGAACAGGAAATACGCAGACTCTGTGACTCTCAAAGCCTGCTCCCTTTTAAGGTGGAACGGAAATATCCTAACATCCTCCCCCTTTCCGTGTAACCTGTAGTACCTGTGGTTCAACCCAATTGCAGCCTTTGTACGTAAACCTTAAGTTGTTCTCTGTTAATAACCTTAGACAACAGATCAGCAGGAATTTCATTTCCTGCCATGTAGGACACCTGAATGAGTCCTTTCTGAATACACTCTCTTGCACGATGTAGCTTAATCTGCAAGTACTTGGTTCTTTGCTTGCAACTCTCAGTTCAGCAAAGCCAAACAGGATGTGTTGTCTTGATACACTCGTATAGGACATTTCACAGAAACACTGATGTCCTTAAACAGTTGCATCAACCATTCACAATCCATGAGTGAAAATGACAGAGCATTGAGTTCTGCTTCACAGGAACTTAGGCTCACTGTCATCTGCTTCTTGCACAGCCAGTCAAACCCTAACCTTTAAAGCCCTATACAGCCTAGGACCCTCGTACCTACGGAACCGCCTCTCCTGGTATGCCCCACAGAGAAACTTATGGTCTTCAAATAAAAACATCTTGAAGGTCCCAGGCCACAGAGAAGTTAGGCTGGCCTCACCTAGAGCCAGGGCTTTTTCGGCTGTGGCTCTGATCTGGTGGAACACTCTGTCACAAGAGACCAGGGCCCTGCGGGACTTGACATCTTTCCGCAGGGCCTGCAAGACAGAGCTGTTCCACCAGGCCTTTGGCCAGGGCACAGCCTGACTCCCTCCCTCGGCAATCTTCGCGGAGCTCTGGCCCAATGGTTGCCAGTGGCATGAATTAATTAATTTTATAATGAATGATTTTAGAGTGTTGTTTATGCTGTACTTTTGTACTGTTTTATTGTTGTTAGCCGCCCTGAGCCCGGCTTCGGCTGGGGAGGGCGGGATATAAATAAAATTTATTTTTTTTAATTTTTATTTATTATTATTATTATTATTATTATTATTATTATTATTTTCTGTTGTAATCCATAAATACAATCCCATTCTCCTGTATCTCCTCTTGCTTTTTATCAGTTTGTTAGCATTCGGGGGGGGGGGGTGCTGCCGAATCATTTATGTTACAAACATGATATATATATATATATATATATAAAGAAAGGGTAAAGGCTCCCCCCTCCCCAACAACATACATTTTTCATCAACGGAAGTCTTCTTTCCAGTTCAAATTGTTTCGGCTTTGTATCTAAATTTAGTGGTTTATTATCTTGTTCCATCTGTTCCAGCACACAGCTTTAATTAAGGACAATTACCCTCAAATCATCTGTTTATTCTTTGCTAACAATCTCTGCTATCGTGGGAGCGGCATCCATTAAGGCAGACCGGAACCAGAAGCCTCAAAAGCCCCATTTCTAAGCAATTCTAGTGATTCCAATTTCAGCTCTTTGCTCCTCACCCCACTTTGTAAAGGCTGGCATGGTCTGTACAGTAGTGACCTGAGAGTAGATCCCATTGAACTCATTGGGGCTTATGGACAGAACTTGGTGCCAAAACGAGTTACCATCCTGTCCCTAAGCCTGAAAACTGCAACCCCAGAGCATGGGCAGAAAACAGACGAGTAGCTAATGTAACATGTAATGTAACAAGTGGCCCCATGCTTGGTGCTTTCTATGGAGAGTCCTGTTGAAGCTCTTTGAGCTCTCTCATTGCAAGCCAGGCAGATGTTGCGGCCATATTTGCCTCTTGCATGGGGACCAAATCTTCGGGAAAGAGGTTTCGTTCTGGTGGGCTGGATCTGGAGCACAAAGGGTCAAGTTTTGCTTGCATGAGCCCTTGTGTTCCTTCTTCAAACTTATTAGGCAGGAACGTCAGAGGTCAAATCTGAGAGTATTTCATTCTGGGCTTCTTATGGCAGAGCACAGAAGGCATGTATCCAATACTTTTCAGTTCTGTCAAGTAGGTCCTTCCCTAGATTTCTCAAGTGCAAGGACCCAGGGCTGTCTGAGTTATGGGGTTCCTTGGGGTCCAGGTCAGCTGACTAGTCAGGATTGTCACCTGCAGAGTATATGTCAACTAAAGGATAATAGTCTGCCTTGGACTGAGGACTTTTTGGAGGTGTTGCTAAATGTGGAAGCAGAGGAGCTGGTGATGCCACATTTTTGAATAATCTTGAGACTAATACACCACTCCTCCATAGATATTCTCTGTGCTTATACACTATGTTCACAAACTTTACGCTCCTCTTGTGAGAAGATACCTAAAGGCTAAGGGTAGCTTGAGAAAAGTAGCTTATTTTGAGACAGCACCCATTTCCAATTCTTGTTTATCAAAACCCTCTCCCTGGTTTGGTTTTGGCTTCTGACAGGACAGCAGAGCATTTGATAACCTTGCATATCGTTTCATATTGATATAAGGATCTGGTGTGCAAATTCCAGTACAGTGGTACCTCGGGTTACATAGGCTTCAGGTTATATACATTTCAGGTTACAGACTCCGCTAACCTAGAAATAGTACCTGGGTTAAGAACTTTGCTTCAGGATGAGAACAGAAATCATGCTCCGGCGGCACGGCAGCAGCAGGAGGCCCCATTAGCTAAAGTGGTGCTTCAGGTTAAGAACAGTGTCAGGTTAAGAACGGACATCTGGAACGAATTAAGTACTTAACCCTGTTAGGATATTTCCGTTCCACCTTAAAAGGGAGCAGGCTTTGAGAGTCACAGAGTCTGCGTATTTCCTGTTCACAGGATGTTTATGTTTTCTGTTGCTTTCGTTTCTCTCTCTTGGTGCCTGAACGCTGAAGCAGGCGGTCATGTTTTTTCTTTGTTCTGACCAACGCTGAATAAACTTGTAAATATGCTCTCCTGCGTGCATCTTTTGCTGTGCATTATCTGCTGATAAGAGCGTGCATCAGCCCTGGAATGTGGCAAGCTATTTCTGGAGCTCGTGTCGCTAATTGCTGATACTGCGTGTCTACGGGAGATCGATGGACGTCCGGAGGCGACGTGGGGCCATGATGGACTTTGTCTCCCTGGCAGTATCCCAACAACAGTTTTTTTTTTTTTAAATAATTTTTTATTAAGGTTTTAAACAAAGAAAAAAAAAGAAAAACAACACACACACACAAAAATACAAAACTTAACAATAAAAACACAAAACATAACAATTAAAAACAAACTCTCTTTTCCATTTCCAATTTTAAATTACTTATTTTCTGGACTTCCTCATACCTCCCTATTTTGTATTCCAATCCACATTATTTGTCCAGCAGTTTCTTTTCCACTTTTTTAATCCCAATCTTTAATTTAATAAAATGTTAAAATATATAACTTCAACCTTTTTAAACCTAATCCTTACTCTTAATGTCATATAGCTTTAAATTTTTCCCGTGTAGTATCAAATTTCCATTTCTTTAAACATCTTTAATCTTAATCTTTAATCTTAATCTATCCTTAACTTTAACCTGTACAGCTGGAAACCACTTATTTTCAATCCAACATCACTCTAACATTCCTTAATTTTGCAGTGTTTCTGAAGATAGTCTTTGAATTTCTTCCAGTCTTCCTCCATCGACTCTTCTCCCTGGTCACGGATTCTGCCAGTCATTTCCGCCAATTCCATATAGTCCATAAGTTTCATCTGCCATTCCTCCAGCGTGGGAAGTTCTTGTGTCTTCCAATACTTTGCGATGAGTATTCTTGCTGCTGTTGTTGCATACATAAAGAAAGTTCTATCCTTTTTAACACCATTTGGCCCACTATGCCCAGGAGAAAGGCCTCTGGTTTCTTGGGAAAGGTATACTTAAATACCTTTTTTAATTCATTATATATCATTTCCCAGAAAGCCTTAATCTTTGGGCATGTCCACCAAAGGTGAAAAAATGTACCTTCAGTTTCTTTACATTTCCAACATTTGCTATCGGGCAAGTGATAGATTTTCGCAAGCTTGACTGGGGTCATGTACCACCTGTATATCATTTTCATAATATTCTCTCTTAAGGCATTACATGCCGTAAATTTCATACCTGTGGTCCATAACTGTTCCCAGTCAGCAAACATAATGTTATGTCCAACGTCCTGTGCCCATTTAATCATAGCCGATTTTACCGTTTCATCCTGAGTATTCCATTTCAGCAGCAAGTTATACATTCTTGACAAATTCTTAGTTTTGGGTTCTAACAATTCTGTTTCTAATTTGGATCTTTCCACCTGGAAGCCAATTTTCCTGTCCAATTTAAATGCCTCCATTATCTGATAATAATGAAGCCAGTCTCGCACTTTGTTTTTTAGTTTTTCAAAACTCTGCAATTTCAGTCTATCTCCGTCTTATTCCAAAATTTCCCAATATTTCGGCCATTTGACCTCCATATTGACCTTTTTCAAGGCTTTCGCTTCCATTGGTGACAGCCACCTTGGGGTTTTGTTTTCTTTTTTCTTTTTCTTTTTTAATATTTTATTAAGGATTTTCTTGTTTTACAGAAGTGTAGTGCCTCGTATTTTTTTTTTCATGTAACATTTTTACAAATCCGTTTCATTTGTTGAGGCATTAGGGGGAGAAGAAAAAGAAAAAAGAAAAAAGAAAAGGGGGGTGGAGAGAGGGAAGATGGATGGGGGTGGGGTCGGGTGGCGGTGTTTCTATTATGTTTAATGTATGTAGAGTTTGGTGTCAGCGTTGCTTGTGTTGTTCACTTGTGTTCCTTTGGTGGTGAGAGAGGTTGGGGTTGGCCTAGGGTGTGATTGTTTGCTTGTGATTGGCTGTGGTGATCTTTGTTTTCGTGTGTGAGTGAGGTGGGTGGGTGTTTTGGATCAGGTTAGCCATATTGATTTGTATGCTGTTGGTGGATTATTGTCATTGTCCTGTTGGGCTGTGTATGTGATAAATGGGAGCCATACCGGGGTGAAGGCGTCTTCTTCTGTTTGTCCCCGTGTCAGTTTCAGTTTATTAGTTAATTTTTCTAGTAGGGCTGTTTCCCATACTATTTGGTACCATTGGTCCATGCTTACTCCTGACAGGTCTCTCCAGTGTCTGGTTATGGTGTTTCTGGCTGCTGAGAGCAGGTGGGTTATGAGTTCTTTGTGGTGTAAATGGGCATTGTTGTCTTGGAAGATGTTTAGTAGGGCCAATTCTGGGGTGATGTCTATTACTTGCTTAGTTATTTTACATATTTCTTGTATGGCTGTTGTCCAGAATAGTTGGATTTTGGGACACTCCCACCACATGTGGAGGTATGTGCCTGTGGAGGTGCACCCTCTCCAGCATTTTGGTGAGGTTCCTGGGTGTATTAGCGCTAGTTTCCTTGGTGTTAGGTACCACCTGTAGGTGAGTTTCAGTGTGAGTTCTTTTCTTTTCGTTGATATGGATTTAAAGGGGGTTTAGACCACATTCTGGTCCATTGAGTGGGGTTAATCTCATAGCCTATGTCATTCTCCCATTGTTTTTTGATTGCGTCTAGGGGATTTACAGGATTTTGGAGTAGTATTTTGTATATTGCGGATACCGTCCCTTTACCGTTTCCCTTTGTTGTTAGGAGGAGGTTTTCGAAGGTTGTCAGGGGCCTAGTTGCTGCTGATTTTACTGTTGGGTTGTTTAAGAGGGCATGAAGTTGGTGTTGTGTTAACCAGGGCATTTGGGTGTCTTCTAGTTTGTCTTGTATTTCTTGTGTTGACAAGGGTTTGTTATTTTTATAAAAGTCTATTAGGCGATATAAGCCTTTGGTTCGCCAGGTTTTTATCTTGAGGTTTTGTGCTGCATGGTGGAATAATGGGTGGTACGCCAGGGGGATTAGTGGGGATGGGGTTGGGGATAGTTTGCCTATTTGTGTTTTCCATGCTTTGAGCATGGTCTGTGTGTACCTGTTAAGTGTTGTGGGAATTTTCTTTAGTTTGTTTGGGAGGAGTGGGTATGTTGTGGTGCAGGTGTTTTCAATTGTGTCCCTCTCTAGGTGTACCCATTGTTTTGTCTCATCTTCTAGTATATATGGGATTATGTGGCGTATTTGGTTGGCATTGTAATATGCTTCTATGTTGGGGATTCCCCATCCTCCTTCTGAGGTGGGGAGGTGCAGGTATTTGGGGCTTATTCTTGGTTTTTTATGTGAGAAGATGAAAGAGTGTAGTTTTCTCTGCCAACTGCGAAGTTGGGTTGAGGGGATCCAGATTGGGAGGGTTTGGAATAGGTAGGTTAGTTTTGGGAGTGTGATCATTTTGATCATGGCTATTTTGTCTGAGAGAGTGAAGTTCATGTTATTCCATCTCTTTAGGTCTTTGTTAATTTGTCGCCACAGGGGCTTGTAGTTGTGGAGGTACAATTTATTGAGGTTTCTGGTTATTTGTACCCCTAGGTATCTGAACTTGGTGTGGCAAAGTTTTATTTTGGTGACCTTCGTGAGTTCTTTTTGGGTGTGAGGAGGGGTGTTGAAGCACATAGCTTCTGACTTTGTAAAATTTACCTGTAGGCCCGACACCATTGCAAATGTGTTGAGTTCTCTGATTAGGGAGGTTGCTGTGCTTATGGGGTCTGGTGTTGTGACCATTAGGTCATCTGCAAAGAGCCCTAATTTATAGGTTCTGCCTTTTATTTCCACTCCCTTGATGTCTGTGGCTGCTCGGATGCGGATTGCTAGGGGTTCCAGAGCCAGGATAAATAAGAAGGGAGACAGTGGGCATCCTTGTTTCGTGCCTCTTTGGATAGCTATAGTGTTAGAATCCATATTGTTAGTTCTGCATTTTGCTGAGGCTTGGGAGTATATTTGTTTGAGGATTTGTAGGAAGTTGGGGCCAAATTTCATGTTAGTTAGTACTGCTAATATGTATTTCCACTCCAAGCAATCAAAGGCTTTGAGGATGTCTAGGGACATAATTGTCAATGGGAGTTTGGTTGCCTTGCTGTGTTCGATCAGGTTCAGTAGTTTCCTGATGGGGTCTGTTATATTGCGGCCAGGGACAAAGCCAGTCTGGTCTGGGGCTATTAACTTGTGTAGGAAGATTTTTAGGCGGTTGGCCAAGATTGATGTGAATATCTTGTAGTCTTGGTTTATTAATGAGATTGGGCGGTATGATTCTACTTTGAGGCTGTCTTTTAGTGGTTTTGGGATGGAGACTATTTTGGAGTGGGTCCAGGTTTTGGGGATGGGGCCCCCTTTTATGATGTCGTTGAATAGGCGGGTCATGTAGGGCATCAAGGGTTCTTTGAATTTCTTATAGAATTCTGCTGTGAAGCCGTCTGGGCCTGGGGCTTTGTGTGGTTTCAGGTTTTTGAGGACCGCATCTATTTCCTCTGGGGTGATAGGGCTGTCCATGAATTCCTGTTCCTCATTAGTTAGGGTAGGCATGGTCAGTCCTGCTAGAAATGTTCTGATTTCCTTCTCTGGTGGGTTATGGGAGGTGTATAGGTTGGAGTAGAATTCTGCAAATTCTGAGGTTATTTCTTTGGGGGAGAATGTTATGTTGCCGTCATTTTTGGTGATGCAGTGTATTCTTGTTTTGAGTGCTTTTTTCCTACATCTATTTGCTAGTAATCTGGAGTTTTTCCCTCCATATTCGTAGAAACGTTGTTTAGAGTATAGAATGTTGATCATTGTTTTGTTAATTTCTAGGGAGTCTAGTTCTCTCCTTTTTGTTCTATAAGTTTGAGGAGTTTTTAGATCCTGTTTGTTTGTAGCGTGATGAGAGGGCTGTGATGTCTTGTTCTATTTTGCTAATTTTTGAGGAGGTTTGTTTTTTAAGGAATGTTTTCTCTTTTATGCAAGCTCCTCTGGTGACCGCTTTCATTGCGTCCCATAGGAGGGGGGTTGTTATATTGTTTACATCGTTTTCTTTGAAGTAGTTTTGGAGGGTTTTTGTGAGACTCTCTCTAATTTGTTTGTTTGTAGTTAGGATGGGACTGAAGGACCATGATGGGGTGGTTTGTGTTCCTTCTCCTATTTTAACAATGACTTCTACTGGGGCGTGGTCTGTGATTTTAATGTTACCTATGTTTGTTGATTCTACTGAGGGGATCAGACCCTGTGTGAGTAGAATGCTGTCCAGTCTGGACACTGTATCATGGCGTCCCGATTGGAATGTATGGCTGATGTCTCCCGGGTTCTGCTCACCCCAAATGTCGTAGAGACCCCTGTTTTTTAGCATTTTTAGTAACTTGTAAGAGTTCCTGGTTGTTGGGGGTTTCCTTCGGAGGAAGGTTGCCCATGGGGTTGTGGGGTGGATATCTTTCAGGGATATACCTTTCATATTTAGATTGAGGTCCCCTCCTAGGATTGCTTCCCCTTCAGAGAAGGAGAGGAATTTGTTTAGTGTCTTCTGGAAGAATTCTAATTGTTTCGTGTTTGGGGCATATATGGAGCCGATTGTCAGTTTGATTTTGCCATCTAGTGTCCCTTTAGCGAAAATGAATCTGCCTTTTTGTCCTTGAGGACTGTTGTGGCAGTGAAGTTCAGGTCTCTACTGAGTATTATGGCTACACCACGAGCTTTCCCTGAGCCTTGTGCGACCCACTGTTGACTGAAGCGGGGTCGCTCAGGAGTTTGCTGCCTTTGGGTGGGTTGTGTATTTCTTGTAGGAAGGTGATGTGTGGTTTCATGGTGTTTATGTATGAGGTGATGCGTTTTCTTTTGATGGGGTTTCCCAGCCCCCTCACGTTTAATGTAATTGCTTTTAGGTTAGCCATCTTGCTTATCTATTATGTGGGGCAATTCCCTGCCAACCCATTCGGGTTGTCTTGTGTCTCTCTCTTCGTGTTGTTTAAAAAACCAGTGGGGTTGCGCTGACCTAGGGTGTGGTGGGTGGGGGGCTAATGGGATTAGAGTAAGATTTGGGTTAAAGAGTAGGGGGTAAGTTGTAGAGAGTTTCCTATATGTAGTCATATAGGTGTTTGTTTGGGGTATTTTAGGCCATCTGGCATTTAGCCAGTTGGTCCTAGGTCTCAGCTGGTGTGGAAGGCCGTGTTCAAGGACAGGCCATCCCCCCTGTTGTTTGCGAGAGGGGGGTGATCAGTGAGACAGTGTGAAGTGACTTTGTAACGTCGCTGTCAGGTATAAGGTTCATAAGCAATGTTGCCAATGTTATGAGCAACATTGTTGGTGTGTTGGGGTGGGGATGTGGGTGCTGGTACGCTCTGGTGCCACCATAGTGCTGGTTGGGTATCAGATTTTAGCCTGATTGTGGGTTGTGTTATTAAGGTTGGAGGAGTTGTTTTTCCCTAGTATGGAGTATGGGGGTGTTGAAGGTGTGGGTGATGGGGAATGTGGTTGAGGTCGTCTGGACTGGTGTTGGGTTGGGGATTCCTGTGGGGGTGCGGGGCTGGGGGGGGATGTTGATGGTGTTAACTAAATCTATGTTTTGGGGGGGGGAGAGAGGGGAAAGGGGGGGGGAATCACCAGTCCTTCAGTTTGTGGTTTTTTCCTGGTTGCTTCATTCAGCTGGGGTTGTTGTTGTTGTAGGGTTGTCCATCTGCGATGAATTGGTTTGGTTAATCTTGGTCTGGTTTCTTGTGTCGTATGGCCGGCGGGACGGTTCTGAGCATGATGCTTGCCTGTATTGGTTTGCGTTGTTGTGCCGCTTCTGTAGTTTCTTTTTCTTCTGTACCGTTGTCCAGTTGTTTGCTGTTGTTTCCTCGTGGTTGGGGCTGTCACTTGGTGGGTTTGTCGGTTGCCATTCCGGTGGGAGGTCGAGTTCAAGGTTCTTTAGTATTTGCAGGGCCTCAGGTATGTTGGTAGCCATGTGTTGTGTTGTATTGGTTGTTACAATGAGGCGGAAGGGGAAGCCCCATCGGTATTTGATCCCTGCTTGTTGGAGACGCTGGGTGCATGGGCGCAGGCTTTTCCTCCGGTTTAGGGTATCCTGAGATAGGTCCTGTAAGGCCAGAATGGGGGTTTCTCCATATCGAAGGTTGGTTGAGTTTTTGAGGTGGTTCCATACCTCTTCCTTCTTTTTGTAGCGTGTGAAGCATACAATGATGTCTCTTGGGGGGGCGCTGGGTTTTGGCATAGGTTTTAGGGCTCTGTGAGCCCTCTCCAAGTCATCTGCCTCAAGTTTCAGGCTTGGGATTGTGTTTTTCAGCCAGCGTATAATTAGGTCTGCTGGGCTTTTCTCCTCTGTTTTTTCAGGAAAGTTGCGGAAGCGGATGTTACAACGTCTATTGCGGTCTTCAAGGTCGGCTTGCTTAATTTTCATCTCTCTGTGTTCTGCTTCCATTTGGTTTACCAGTTCGTCCAGTTTCTTGTTCACACGTGTGTTCTCCTCCCGGTATTGCTCTATTATTCTTTCTTGCATTTGGTTCTTGTTCTCTAGAGCTTCCACTTTGGAGGTTAGATTGTTGATTAGTACCTGCATGGGAGCCATTGTGGCCTTCAGTGTTTCTTCTAATCGTGCTTCTAATCTTGCTTCCATTTCCCTCAGATCTCGTTTCGTTATTGGGTGGTCGTCATCTTGAAGGGGAGTTACCATCTTAGCATTGTTTGCCATCTCCCTGGTTGGTGTCATCTCGGTCTCCCTGATGGTTTTGGTTTGAGGTTGGCTTGGCGTCCTCTTGGGGTAGGGCGTGTGGTGGTTAGGAGTTGTGGCAGTGGTGATTCCTGGGTATTGTTGGGTTGCTGAGCTGATCAGGCTTTGTTGGCTGGTGGCTTTTACAGAGCGTTTGGATTAGGTGGTCATTTGTGTCACTTCTAGCCTGTGTTTTAAGAACTTCTCTAGGGCTTTTGTGGATGCCTCAGCGGTGCCGCCGAGGTGAGGGGCAGGTAAGCAGCGATGGGTAGACTAACGGACAGACAGTTCATATAAAGGGAGGGGGGTTAGCAGGTAGAGATGCAAGAGATTAGAGGGGTGGGGCCAGGGGAAATATGTGTTTAGGGGGGGGTGTATATGCCCAAAAAGGGTATTGGGGTCCAGTTAAGGTGGAAGTTGGGGTTGGGAGTGCGCTCAGAAACAGAGACAGACAAATAGGCTATATGTAAAGGGTGGAGGGAGAAAAAGGGAAGAAGAAGAAGAAAGAAAGAAGAAGGGGGAGGCAGGGGGAGAGGGGCGATTGGAGTAAAAGAGAAGAGAGAGAGAGGGACAAAAAGAGAGTTGAAAGAGAGAGGAGAGATAGTACAGTAATATCAGCGGTATTAGAATGCAGCAGTAGTTTTAGCTATAGTATGAGGGGGGGCAAATTATGATAGGGTGATATGAATGTGTGTATGTGTTTCCTTTAGGGGAAGGGGGGGATGGAGAGAGGGAGGAGGGAGAGAAAAGGAGAGGAGGAGGGGGAAGGGTGGGAAAAGGAAGGAGAAGAAAAGAGAGGGGGAGAGGGGAGGGAGGGAGGGTGAGCTGCTGCAATGGTATGGGGGAAAGTCTTATTTTAAAAGAGGGGGTGGGGGGAAGGGCTCCCCTCTCAAAAACAAACTGATGAACAGGCTAAAAAGGGGGGTTGATTTAAAAAAATTAAAGGGATAGAGAACAAAATTGGGGATGGAAAATGAAAGGTGGGATAAAAGGAAAAAATGAGGAGGGGTGAAGAGAGAGGGGGGAGAGAAAAAAGGGAGAGAAAAATAAAAAGGAGGGGAGTTGAGGGGGAGAGTATCAATAGCAATAGCAGTGATATGGAGGAAGTTTTTGTTTTAAAAGAGAGTGGTGGTCGTAGCTGGGGGGCGAAAGATTCCCCCCTCAAGAACAAGCCAACAAATAGAAAAGAAAGGGCTTTAAAAAGAGAAAGAGGGGAGAAAAAATAATAATTGTATGGTTTTGGTTTGTTTTTTTAAAATAATAATAATAATAATATTTCCCCCTAATTATTGTTATTATTTTTTGTTTGTAAAAAAGTAATTAAAAATGTACGGGTAAAAGATAAAAATGAGAATTAAAGGTTAAAAAAAAAAGGGGGGGTTGTCTTTAGATAGATAGATAGATAGATAGAGCGTTTTATTATTTTTTTAGAAATGAGTAGTATAGGTAAAAGGGATAGGTAAAAGAGAGTGGAAAGTCTGGGCGAAGTGGCAGTCCCAGGAAATGGCCTGTGATGGTTCAGGGCTGTTTTCTGGGTACTGCCATTTTAATTCTTAAGAGGGGAGTTTGAGGTGGAAATAAAATGAGGTTTAAATTCAGAGTGTGTGTGTGGAAAAGTGTGTCTTTAAATAGTGTGTAGAAAAGATAGAAATAAAAATAAAGATTCAAATAAAGGGTGGCTGCAGCAGCAGTGGCCCCTCTTTAAAAAGAAAAGTGATAAAATTAGGTATATGGGGGAGGGATAAAAAGATATATATATATTTTAAAGGGGGAGGGAGGGGGGAAGGGGTTAAAAAAGGGGGTTAAAAGAAAAGAAAAGAAAGAAAGGGG